TGAAGTTCGCAGAATACATTATGATATTATGAGTAATTTTAGCTAAGTAAATTTAGCTAAGTAAATCGAACTGAAACGATGATATGCTCCCAGGTGCCAAATATCATCGTAACAGTAGAACGAGCGAGAAGTAAAATAAGCGAGAAGCAGCATTAGCCGGTGGTTTCCCGCTTGCTCAAAGCAAGCCGGCTGTTAAATAGAAAAATTGCAGAATCAGGAGACTACATTGTGTAGTGGGAGAGGTTGAGAGAAATTTGTTTGCCGAAGACTAATGTGTCAAAGTAGGAAAGGGTGTCGAAGCATCTTGTTTTTGGTTATTTATATATCAATTGTGGTAACCCTGACCAGCTCTTCTCTTTTTTTTCAATTCGTTGACTCTTGTCAACATGTATTTATCAAAAAGTGTCATAATGTCTGATCCCAAACTATAAATAGAATAAACTATATATATGTTGTATATTGTTATCCTATTCAGTTGTAACAATACATGTTTTTATGTAAATAGAAAATATTTCTAAAGAACAAATTTAATAATAATTAGAATTAGAATAATTCTTACAAGAATAATAATAATTCTAATAAAAATAATAATAATTCTTATAACAATTATCATTATAATTACAAATAAAATAATAATAAATATCGATTCCTTTTAAATAAAATTTATATATTAGTTATATTTAAATATAGAGTACAAATAAGGCTACATTGAGTTAATTTCTTGGTTCTCATAACATTAAAATTTTACAACGGCTTTAGCCACCCGGCATTTTTTGTAAAATTTTATAAAAATTTCAAGATCTGACTGGGTTATGAAAACAAAAAATTAATATGGCCTAAGCAAGAAATAAGTGTGAGAGTGAAAATTTGGAAGTGAATCAGTGTTTCGGGCGAAACTATTTTCCAAATCTAAAACGTTTCGCCCTATAAGTCTGAAACTCTCCGAAACTAGTTTCGCCTAATTTGATCTGCAAAATTGGGTTTCGAACACTGAAGTGAATATTTAAGTTTTCATAGTGGCGAATTTAGCCCCTAAAGAATTATGATATTACATATCAGCATTGATAGTGTGATTGGTGCTCTGGTAATTTCAATAATACAATAACATATATTAAACATTCATATTATCAGCTATAGTAAAAACTTAGATATTCACTTCCAGGTTTTTGCTCTCACACACTCAAATATAAAATTTACACAAACCATATTTGCGACCCAAGTAATAATTCTAAACTTATATTGCCATTTGAATTACTACCTTTAGCAGAAAATAAGATGCCTCTCGCAATATCTATATCATTATATAAGTAAAATTAGTATAATTGTTCTAGTACAACATAATATTTAACAGAATCCTAGGGTTAGAAATTCGAAATACTACTCAAATTTGTTTTTTTTTATGTGCTAACAACTCGAATGGTTCAACTAATTTCCACCTACAAAAGAGATGAAAATGCATTGAGTCTGATTTGTAATCTATAAAAATTATAATTTAAATAAAAACCCTACTTCAATTTTGCAAAATAACAAAAATTCGAGCCTTAAATTTCTAGTCAAAGTGAATTAAAAAAAAAGTTTAGTTTATCACAGTACTTATATAATAAGGTGTAGTTACCTCAACGCTCTTAATATAGATGACGAAAATAACTAATTAAATACATAATCGATCGGTCTATCTGTTCACACTAATAAAAATCAATTTTACTTGCATTCAGGATATTAGTACTAGTAAAAAATAATAAAATAGTAGTTTAAAAGAATAGAGTAATACTTAATCATTTTCGCTTTATTTACAGAGCCCTGTTGAACAAATAAAGGCTAGTAAGTTAATCAAACATTTATACATAGACATAGAATTTGTGCTAACTGCCGCAATATGTCGATGAAGAACTAGCTAGACCCACAATAGGATTAAAATTCTTCTAATTGACCATTTAGATATTACAGTGTCTAAGATTCACAGATCACCAAGAGCCTTACCAACTACCAAAAATTATACATATCTGTCAGAAACTTTTATTTAAATGATAATTAATTGCAGAAACATTCGTACTTAAAACATTTATCTATAATATTAAATAACATACCTAATATCGCTAAGAAATAACTGCTAATAGAAGTTGGACCAGATATACTCTAATTAGATTTCAAATTTTAGATTATTAATTGCTAATATATAATAAAAATTATATGAATTTATTACTATATTTGTCCACGTATAAGATTTTGTATTATACAATGGTAACTACAAAAGTATCAATGTTATTATATCGAATATAATGAATAATTGATTATAGGGTTCGCTACAAATGGATAATAAATATGTAGAATCGAGGCTTCTATTTACCTTATAGTACCATTAAATTGTACAGAGTTCTGAGATATAATAGTAATATTGCCTTTAATCTAGTAGTACTAATGTCAATATCGTCTGTTACAATATTTTCAGAAATTCTTCAATAAATTTAAAGAACAATATTGCCAACATTGATTTTCTACATCCTATTTAAGAGAAGTTAATATTCATTAGTTCTCAAAATGGGTCTAAGATTTATAGTTCGAACAAAAATTCAACTATAATGTCAACTAAGATGCCTTTCAAAACTAGAAGACTACCAAGCCCATATTTAATTTCCAAATTTTTAATGTAAATTTTTTCACAAGATGACCATCCAACTGGTAGCCTGTTATCTGGTATTATATTCTCAGCTTTTATTTTAAATCGTTATTGTAGTAAACTAAATGTTCCACTGAGTAATAGTAGGACATATTAAACAGATAATGATAAGTTCGAAGACTCACCTGCATTTAATAAAACAGTAATCTGAGAAATCAAATATGCTAACAAATCTGGAAATTCTCTCTGCTTTCTTCATATAACGTCTGCCTTATCAAAATTCTATTCACCACATAAATCATTAGATCAACCATTAGATCAACCGTTATATTAACCGTTATATCATATAACACCTATCACATCAGCTATTAGATCAGCGGTTAGAACAACTGTTAGATCAACTGTTAGATCAACCATTAGATCTTAACCGTTATATCATATAACACTCATTACAACAACCGTTAGATCAACCGTTAGATCAATATACACTCCTTGCATTAACACTTACTCCTTGCATCAATCCAAATAATTTATTGGATAATTCGGTTATCCATCCGTTAATCCATTTTATCTGATTATCCATTTAATATCCAGATATCTGATGGATAAACGGATAAACGGATAATGGATTGGAACTCTACCTTATCCAAATCAATTATATTCTCTTCTTCATTATCATCAAAAATAGATGACATATTTATTATATCATTTTTTTTAATATCTATACTACTTACCAATGGAGCACAATGCCTAGTAAGAACAATAATAGCTAGCTATATAAAACTCATTGTAGAGTAATTGCTGCCTTCTAATAATTCGGTAATTTCAGCAAAAGGAGCTAAAAGCATTGTTAATTCTTCAAGAACAATCCATTTATTTTCAGTAATCATTATAGATTTTAACCGATTTGCATCTTTGCGAACTTTATAATCTGCATTATCATTCATAGTTGCTTCTATAAATTTTATAGCACATTTTATTTGAAGAAGTCATTTCTTAAAAATTATATAATAAAAAGATAAAATAAAAAAGATAAAAAAAATAAAAAAATAAAAAAAAGTTAAAAGCAAAAAACAAATCATGCAATGTATGAGGAATTTCAACGTATAGTCATATCAGAAATTGCACGAAGATAAAATTTTTCATTATTACTAATTTGTTCTTTTGATATTTTTAACATTTCTTGTACTTTTTGTAACTGTTCATTTTGTTTAGATATAGTTAAAAAATCAATTAATCATTTTGCACATTTTATTAAAATTACTGCTGGTCTCAATCCTTTTCTAATAGCCAGTTGAAGTATATGGGCTGCACAAGGAATTCGATCTACTTTATCTATCAAATTAATAGCCTTAACCATGTTCACAGCATTGTCAGTTATAATTGAACTTACTTTTCCAAAAAGTTTCCATTCATTAATTACATCTTCTAATTCAGTTTAAATAGTTATTGCATCATGAGGATATGGAATATATTTAGCTGCATATATAATTTCTTTTAATTTATAATTTAAATCAATAAAATGGTATGTAATTTCCATATATCCACATTTTGAGTGAGCAGTTCACAAATCACATGTTAAACTATACATTGTGACTTCTTTTGCAAGAAAAGCTTTAAGATATTCTACTGAATAATTCTAACTTTGATGAATTCGTGCTTTTACTAATTTATAAGAAGGTAATTCATAATATGGATCTAATGTATGAATAAGTTTAATAAAACTTTTATTTTGTAAAACATAAAGAGGTTGTGAATTTACAATGATCTATTCAATCAAAGCATGCTCAATAGATTCTTTACGATGAGGATTTTGTCCAGAAGCATATTGAAACATTTTATCAACTATTAGTTGTTTAGATGTATTATTTTTTTTAACAGGTTTGGTAATTCTAGTGTATTTAAATGTGACTGAAAGTTTTCTGTTGAACCTTGAGTCTTAACTAACTGCCTACATTCTCATTGACCATTTGGTGATTTTTTATCATTTACAATTACAGTACAAATTGCAC